TCACAACATGTCGGCTTTGCGTACAAGATCTTTAGGTATATAGCGGAGCTGAAAAGGTCCCCCTCTCCTGGCATGCAAGCTCTGGGAGCTTGTGGGGAGATAAGCTAGAGGCAAAGAAATTCAGTAGGTTTCACAAGGCACACTCAGCATCCCATCAGTATTTCATCCCTGTCTCTGGTATTGAGCAAAGAGAACAGTCTGAGTTTACTTTTTATCTGCACCTTTGAATTGGACTGTCTTCTCTTTCCATACCACATCCAGAATGACAGAAGCAGAAAATTGTACCAGAGAATTGGCGACGTCTGAAGATATGTAGTATTTTTATATCACTTACGACATGTGGTTGTCTATACAGGGCTGAAGAGTCCTTTCCTCTTGGGTGAAGAAAAAGGAAAGTGGGGGTGTTTCAGAAAATCAAATATTTCTAGTAGGTGACATCCATTTTGTAGCTGTTAACATGAAAGATCCCATTAGACCTCATCTAATTTGAACATGTTTAAACCAGCACATTTAACTCAACTTTGCTAATGACTCTGTCTTTAATGTGTTTCCCTGAACCTGAACAAATTACGTGATACATTTAAAATGCAAATATGCCCACTTAAGAATTAGGGCTATGATCCACAAATCACTAACTTTCTAAAAGCCCAGTTCTAACCACATTTATACAAAAGTCCCACTGCGTTTACTCCTAGGTAAGTTTGCAAGTGATTGTAGCCTCATCATCTTTATTGTGGTCAGTGGGGCTACTCCAGAGTAAGTGATATGAAATTCCAAACTGTGGCAGGCTGATCTTATGCATGCATGTTTAGATTAATTTTACTATGCTCAATGGAGCTTACTAACAAATGTGTGCACAGGATCACACTATTATGGTATACTGTGAAAAAAACAAACAAAATTTTCAAAATCCTTGTGGACCCTACAGATATCATACTTTTAGTTATCCTACTTCTTTACAGAGTTCTAGATATTTACTCTATTTCTTAAATATCTTGATGTTGGCTGAGATACAGACTAAATTGTGTAAAATCTGTTATTGTTTCAGATAATATGTTATGAAATACTATAGTTTCTGCTTATGCTTAGGATAGCTTTTAATGCATAAATGGACTATGATCCACAATCCAGTTAAACCACAGTATTTTGTAAGGCACATTATATGTGTAGACTGGGCTAAACATGACAAGTTGCAATTATATCGTGCATAATGGCGCAACTACTTCACTGCCATCAGGAGGACATCATATGATCATATACGCCTACGACATAAAAACAAATTATATTCCATCTTTATCACTGCACAACCTGTTGCATGGAGGCAAAGTGCTGTCCTCGCATTATGGAGGGTGGTGGTCTCCACATGGTGGACTCTTGTCATCTCTATTGTCCATGCTGGTTGAGACTGGTGGGAGCTGCAGTCCAATGACTTCTGTAGAGCACCTCACAGGCAACTCCTGTATTATGGGGTGATTATATCTTCTGAAGCTTTCTTCTCCAAAGACCGTCTCACTTTAGGATTTACACTTGGTTATGGACATTGCTTTGTTTGTAGAACAAAAGATACTCTGGGCGATTACCCTAGTCGCAATTTTTCCTCACAGCCAGGTGGTTCTTGAGGTACGCTGGACCTGATTTGTTAAGGCCTTGTAAATGAATACAATAACCTTGAAACTTAGGGCTTACCACTTCTGAAGAAGATGCACTTATCCCTTCCACTGTTAGTACACATCAAGGAACTATGGTTGTGATTTGCTGATAGGAACGATGTATGACTGTACAGACTCAAAGCTGATTCAAGTGGGAGAAGAGGCTGTTAAAGAATGAGTTGATTTTCCATAAGTTAGTGCAATAGATTTTTCCCCAGGATGCAGCTGCAGAGCACTCCTGACTGTCTTATCCCTGTTGTTGTGCCGACTGACCTATATCAGAAGCTCCAATTACAGCATTCTGGTTGTGGAGAGTAGTGGGAACATGTGGAGGAGGATTGTTGGAGAACTGGGAAGACTGAAGTTGTAGGACTTTGGCAACTATGGACTTGCCGGGAACTTTAAGCAAGGACTCTGATAGCTGAAAACCCTCTCTGGGCTCAGAGAGAGAAGCATTCTTGAAGCAACTGTATATAGTGTGTGTATGGTGTATTTCATGTTTACTGAGTAAAACTCTGCTACACTTTGTCTGCTGTGGGAAGTTTAATCGCTTTGCTGAACTCCTGACTGTGCAGTCACCCAGCAGGTTATTGGGAACAAACATCCAACAGAGACATTGTGCATATATTCTTGAATCCTTGGAAATTTGCAGGTGTTCACATTTCGCAGAGCCCAGAGATTCTGAATATTTCTTTGCCCATTTCTTATTTAGTCATCTAACAGAGAACTGAAGACTCCAAAGGATAGAGGAAAGCTGTTTTGAAATGAGTGAAAAGTGAAACCAGTTTTTTGAACTGTGTTCTATTTCCAAGGATATGTTTTGAGGGACTGTCCTTATTTTGGAGCCTCTGTTGGAATGCTACCAGACTTTGTTGGCCTTGTTGACATGCTTGAGTTTCTGAAGAGATTAAGGCTGCATTTGGATTTTGAGTTTATTGTGTTAGTTTTACTTGTTATAATGCAAGTGCTTCTGTCCCAATTTCTAATGTTTCTTTTACACTGTATTACCTGCTGTGTTATGGAACTGTGGATTTTTGATCAATATATTTCCATGCTGCCCTAGATTTCATTCACACCAGTAGACATGGTGTGACACAAAAAAACAAACAGCCTTGGATGTGTTGCTGTTCCCCAACCCATTCCGGGCATGCATATTTCTGTTTCCTTGTGATTCACTATGCAGTATGCCCAATTTCTTTGTTGCGGGAGCAAAACTCATGTAATGTTATGGGTTTCCAGGGCTGCAAATGGACTCCTCCCCGCCCCCTGTAAACAATATGGGAATTAGCACTAAACTTCCACTCAGGTTCCAGCTGTGGATTTTACGTTGTGCGAGAGATGAAATAAAATGTGGAAATAAAGAGATAAGGAAATGTCGGAAAGCTGAATATAGTGCACTCTGAACACAGGCAGAGTAACCATGTGACCCCCAAGATATTTGTGCAGGCTGTGGGGGTAGCAAGAAAGGTTCAAAAATATGTAACCAGAGGATGAGACACACACGTATGTGTCAAGTACACTGAAGGCCTGCCTGCTTGAATATTATTATTGGGAGTAAGAGAAAGGTAATTAGTTAATTAATTATATTTGTACGGGCTGTGGATTTGTATCTGCCTTTACTTTTTTGGCCTTTCTGGTCCGTCCTGTTTTATTAATATACAAAGGAATATATATTTATAATAAAAAGGCTGAAGCTAAGGAAGAACGACCCCTGTTCTTATTTGTCAAAGCAAGGTGCTGCCACGGAGCCAGCCTGTTTGAGGGACGTTCTTGTCCCTGGGAAAGTTGAGGCTTGCAGCATCACTACTGCTTTCCATGTTTTATCACTCAAGTAGGAAGTCTCTGATCTCTGGCACATGCAGCCTTGGAGTTGCATTCCTGTGGTGTGGGGACTAACAGATGCGGAAAGTAAATGGATCCCTTATGGTTGCAAAGATACTTATGCAGCAAGGCTGAAAGGAAAAATACCCAACATCTACTACTCAGTGCTCTGAATTTCTCCTTGCCATTTCTACACCAATCTCATCTGGATAACTGTTCAGACGTATGGGCTGCCTATATTAATTTATACTTTTAAATCAGGACCAATGGAGCATTTTTTTATTGTTCATGCCAGCTGATGATGTTCCTGTCTTTTGTTTTACTGCTATATTTGCAAAAACGAAATTTAAGTGAAAATGGAGAAGTCGTGAGCACAGTCTCAACCTGTAACTTTGGTGGCAATCTTGCCACCCATTCTTTTAAATAATAATAATTTCCCATTCCTAACTTGTATTTCTGGAAGTAAACCCCACTAATGTCAACGCTGTTTCTATTCACACACTGAGAGGCAAAATCAACAGAAAAGTTATGGAAAAAATAGTTCTTAAAGTAGGCAAAAGGGGGGAAAAGGCCCATTGTATGAGAGTGTTTCTTTCCACCTCAGGTCAAAGTCAGACAATTTATGGAGTCTCTCCCCGTGCAAATAATCATTATTAACAAAGAGATGCGTATCAATATGCCCAGAGATGAAACTCCAGGGTGCAGCTATTCTAAATAATTTCCTTCGGATATTGTGCCTCAAAAAAAAAAAAACCATGTTCCCCCTCCCCCTTTTAACTCGTGCTTCAAAGCCCAACATAGGGGGGGGGAAGACAAATCCCGCTCTTTTTTCTTTTTGTGTGTGTGCGCGCGTCCCATTTCTCTCGCCATCTCCTCCCCGCCCCCCCGTTTGCCTTCTGAGGGCAAGAAATATACATACACAAAAGCCCTCAGCCGCGCGGACTGCGCATGCCCGAGGCCTCTCGCGCATGCCCACTGAGAACAAAGGAGTTCCGCGGGTCTGATGGGGAGAGCGGAGCTTGCTAGATAGAGCGCTCGGCAACCTTCGGCGGTTTCCGTTGGGGCCCGGCCGCCATTTTCTCGCTCCCCTCGCTCTCTCGCTGCTCGCTACCTGCGCGGCTCCCTGCCCTGGTCGCCAGCGCTTTGTCCTGTTCGGCGATGGACGGGTGAGTGAGGGAAGGAGTGAGGGACGGACGCCGCCACTGCCGCCGCCGCCACCGGGAGGAAGAGAGGGAGGAAAGAGTTGCCGCCGCCGCCTCTCTCGCCTCCCTTCTCCCCCTTTTCCGAGGGGGGCAGGCAGTGCATCCCTTACGTGTCAGGGGCGCTTCCCGAGCTCCTTCCTTCCCGCCTGCCGGGCTCGGGGCGTGAGGAAAGCCTGGGGGTCCCGGGAGGAGGGGAGAAGAGGGGCGTGTGTGGGTGTTTTCCTCTCCCCGGGGGGAGGCGCCTGGCCAGGCGGCTGTCACTGCCCCGGGTGAGGGGCGGTGGTTGGGGGGCCGGTCTTGCCTTTTGACAGAGGCCTGGGCCTCTGGAAGGAGGCATCCCCGCTGGGATGCTGGGCTAGACAAGGCCCCTGTGGGGAGAGGCCTCCCCTTCTTTCCCCTGTTACATCCCCGCGACCCGTGGCATCCCCGCGTTCACACGTTACTGGCCCCTTTCCCCATGGGGAACGCCCTTTTCTTCCCTTCCCTTGTCTCCTCCCTCGTCCCGTCCCTCCCGAGCTCACCCCTCCCCATTGTTTCATTTGGGTTAGGGTGACAGAGGAGCAGCAGCGATGCCCCCCATTTGGGGCAAAGGAAGCAGGAGGAAGGAGGCTCTTTTGTTTCCATTGAGGCCTTGTGTATGTACATGCCACCTCTTTTCTCCCAACCTCCCAAGGTGGAAAAAAAAGATGCCTTTGTGTTTGCTGGAGACAAGGCAGACCAAGCCGAAGGAAAGGAAGGCAGGGATTGCAGGCGTCAGCCATATGGAAACAAGGCAAAGGGCCTCCCTCCATTGGTGGTGAGGAGCTTGGGTGGGCAGCTTGCGGACGTATCACAGGCAAGGCCCTCTTTTTATTGGAAGCTGGGAAGTCCCGCTTTCTGGGCCCTGCTCAGTGACAGCGTAAATAGAGGGCTGATTATTATTTTTTTTTACTGCCTTCGCCAGACTTGAATCTGCTTTTGAAATGAAGCTGGGCAGCTCTTGTGTACATGATAAAATGGTTTCACTGGCTTTTGTTATATATATAAAAGAAATAAAATAATGGTATGATGGTTTGCGATCATAACAGGAGCATGACGAGCCATGCTAAGACCTGGGAAAGTTAGTCAACTTCCATGGCCCAGGCTTGCATATAACTCGAAACCAAGCCGGTGGATGGGCAGCAGGCAAGATCATTATACGCACAAGTTGTATTCTCTTGATCAGCTATTTGCTACATCCACATTCAGTGCTGGGATCTAGTTCTAGGCTTTATGAAGTTTCTTGCCCTGCCTTGCTAAAATCCATTTGCTGAATTGCCTGTGCAACTCTTTGTTGACATTAAAGACATAAGAGGAGTCCTGTTGGATTAGGCCAAAGCCCTATCTAGTCCATCATCCTTTTCTCACATTGGCCAATCAGATGCCTGCAACATGAGGGCAGTACTCCCATTTCACTCTTGTTCCCCAGCAACTAGTATTCAGAGGTGTGCTGCCTCAAATGCTGGAGGTAGCATACAGTCATACCTCGGGTTACAGACGCTTCAGGTTGCGTTTTTCAGGTTACGGACTGTCGAAACCCGGAAGTACTGGAACAGGTTACTTCCGGGTTTCAGCGGTCACGCATGCGCAGAAGCACTGAATCGCAACCCGCGCGTGCGCAGACGCCGGTTGCGAATGCTGCGGGTTGTGAACGTGCATACCGCACAGATCATGTTCACAACCCGTGCGTCCACTGTATAGCCATTATGTAGCCATGATAGCCTTTTCCCCCCATTAACTTTTCTAATACCTTTCTGAAGTAATCATCACATTTCATAGTAGCATAGTGTTAACTACGTACTGTGTAAAGAAGTACAGTGGTACCTTGGTTCTCAAATGGCTTAGTTGTCGAATAAATTGGCTCCCGAACACCACAAACCCGGAAGTAAGTGTTCCAGTTTGCAGATGTTTTTCAAAAGCCGAACGTCCGGTGCGGCTTCCAGTTGAGTGCAGGAAGCTCCTGCAGCCAATCAGAAGCCACACCTTGGTTTTTGAACGGTTTTGGGAGTTGAATGGACTCCTGGAACAAATAAAGTTTGAGAACCAAGGTACCACTATACTTCCTTTTGCTTATCCTGATTTCCCCACCATTCAGCTTCAGTGACTCCAGACTCTAGTTTTGGGACATGGAAAAGAACTTCCTCTACATCTAGTTTTATAAGCCTGGTCTGTTGGGCTTGATTAGATCTGCCTAGGTCAGATTTGCTCTGTTGTATGTGGTTTTACAGTTGTAAAGAAAACGAACAAAAGTTATTCTTTATCCTTTTTGGCTCCCATTATCACCAATCCAAGTTTGGTTGTATGTGTGGCACCAAGGTAGTTCTTGCCACCTTGTTACTTCAGTATCTCATGAGTAAGTCTAAATTATTACAAGCAAGCATTTTAATGCCAATATATTTAAAATATATTGAATGTTTGGTTTCAAAGAGAATGCCTTTTTCATTAGAAAAGAGAAATAAAAGTGAATTCCCCCTTTTAAAAAATTATTTTCTTTTTCAGCATTGTCACTGATGTTGCAGTTGGTGTGAAGGTAGGTTATGAATTTAATAAATAATCCTAAATTTGGTATGAAATGTTAATTTGTCATGTTGACTATTTGTCCCGGTCACTTTCGGTCAGGGGTGCCAGCAGCATCTGCTCTTAGTACACTGTATGTGGATTGATTCCTCAGCCCCACCCACAAAAGAGGGACCAATCTGCAAATAACTTGTGTATGTTAATTTATATTTATAGATACAAATTTATAAAGAATTACTGTAACTTAAATAGAAATTGAATACATTTTGCCATAGTGGGGAAAACTTTAACCATGTCAGGTGACCTTGTAACCCTATGTGAATTTGATTGTTTGGTAAGTATAAGGCCATGATGGGAAACTTTTTCTTTCTATAAAGGGTCATTGACCCACCAAAAAAATCATTCTGAGGGCCATACACAAATACAATGACTGACAGAATGTCAACAGATGAAGCTTTCCCCATAATTGTATTTCCATCCCAGAAAGGGCTTAACCTGTTGGATTTCTGTCTGCCATGCAGCTCTTAAGTACACAAGAACACTGCTCTCCTCCAATAACAATCCTAAAGTATGCAAAGAATACACGTTTCACGAGTCCTATACTGGCTATATTTTCGTAGGTCTTTTGATCAATTTATCTCAGTCTGGCAGCATTCTGTCCGGCCAGGCAGGATATTTCAAATGTGGGTATCAAAAGAGATTTTAGATTTACAGCAACATAGGTTCAATTTCCTGTGCTTGGATAATTCAGTATGTGCAGAGCAATCTGTAAGGGTCAGTGGGGGACATAACTGAAAGTGGATGAACTGCCTCTTTCCATGCCCGGCCACACCTGTGGTTTTTCTTTTCTTTTTTCATTTTCCTTTTTCTGCTAGTTGTGTAATTTGTCCCATGTTCCAGGTGTGTGTCTGGGGAATGGAGGAGATGTGGATCCACAGCCTCTTCTGGAATGCTTTCTTTCTGCACTTTCCAGTGTTCATGCTCTGTCAGAACAGAACTGGCTACGTACCTTTCCATTACTTCATCCTGGAGGCCTAGGAAATCACATCTCCCTCTCCAAGGGCAGACCTCTCTGCCCTCATAGTGAAAAACCTTATGACTCCCTGGGCCCTTTTGTGGGCTGCGTTGCAGGATTGGTATAACCCATGCTCTCACAATAACAGTCCACTGCCCTCTCCTTCAGTATATATGTGTGTGTATATACTGGTGATGATATACCCTTTGCAGGGTAATTGTTGTAGGGACTGTGTGACTTAAGTGGAACTAGAATTGGAGAGTTTTTAATATATTTAATGCAGAGTTCATAAAATAGGACTGAAAGGATCTAGATTCTAGCTATATTATGAACATTGCAAAGGTCTAGGATTCTAATCACTGACCCAAAGGTAGCCATAATGTTCTCAGTTTCTAGACCGCAGACTGGAAGTACAGTCATGCCTCATGTTATGTCTGATTCGTGTTACGTTCTTATGTCTGCTTCATGTTACGTTCTTTCATGTTGCGACCCGGAAGTACCGGAAAGGGTTACTTCCGGGTTTCGTGGCTCACGCATGTGCAGATGTGGCAAATTGCAACCCGCATGTGTGCAGATGCGCCGCTGTAGGTTGCACTCTTTTCATGTTGTGAACGGGCCTCTGGAACGGATACCGTTCGCAACCAGAGGTACCACTATATGTTGTAGATTGTGCACTCATGTCTCCTTTCTTTTGTGGCTTGCTTTTACTGTGGTATTACATTACATGTGTGATTCTGATATTGCCAAATTGTGGTTTGACATTACATGCATGAGCAGACACCTCCAAGTCACCCTCCTGCTTCCCTTCATATGTCATGATTTCTTTACTTAATCCTGGGTTCTGGATTCTCCACAAACTGCAGTTTACCATTTAATCCAAACCTAAGCTATGGTTTGTGCAACCAAGGACCAAAGCATGGTAATTGGTATTGTGTGCCTGCTTCTACATGCAGTATTAAATGATGTGAACTAACCTTATGTATGAAATACTAATTATGTAGCATTAGTGTTAAACAGGGTGGCTCTTGTATGCAAGCTTTGAAGTGGGTTTGCAAACCCTCGTTATGAAGGATTCTGGTTAATGTTAATTATGTATTTGCACCAATGTAACTGTAATGTTACATCATAGCAAAAGCAGGCCATGAAATGGAAAGGGGAATTAACATGGAAGATGGGAACATGCAATCTCAAAGAATTCTCTCGGATAAAAAAACATACTTGCACTGGACCTGCAGTAAGAATCTTCAAAACTGTCTAATCTGAGAACAGATTATACTAGGAGAACAGGTAGTAATAACCTTGAATTTTGCAGTATTTGAGATCCTGGTTTATTTTGGGTAGTCTTGATTAAAAATACTACTGCTCTGAAACATGGAACATGTAAAATTGTAAGTTCGGATTAACATGGGGTAAAGGCCAGGTGCTTTGTACTTTATACTCATATACCGTGCTACATCAGTGCTTGAAAAACGGTGGTGGTAAGAGAAAGAATTAAGCAACAATGTACCTCTGAGCATACATTATGTCTAGGAATTTGTTTTCAGTATCAGAATTGCTTTTGAAATCCTTTCACATGCAAATCATTCTTATTTTCCCTAGCTTCCTTTGTTCTTAAATATTTGATAGCCAGACACCCTTTAAATCCACTGTAAATTATTCATCTACCAGTGGATCCTGAGACGTCTGCTACCCCATACCTGACTTTAGATAAAGCTTACTATGGTACAGTGCTGTGCTTATAAAATGAATATGCCTTTCTTTTGGGAGCATGTGAACATATTTGGACCAGTAACAGGAGTAGAATCTCTCATAGCTAAGCATATATACTTTGAAAATGGAATTGAATTCTGGGAGCACCCATCTTATATTCTTCAACACAACTGCCTCTAAGAAGAATATAAACTGTCATTCTTCCAGATGGCATTTTGCCTTTTGCAGAGTTGAACTGACAGTTTTGAGGAGATAGTTTAATTTGTCAAAAGCATCACTGGTGATATCAGCACAGTTCTGGTCAAAGGACTGTCTGGCTTGCTGCCTTCCTTCTTCAGCAGAATAAGCATGTCATTAACCGCGCCTCTTAACTGGAAATGACTTAAAATAAAGTAATACATATTAACTAATAACTTATAAGAATACAATGGTAGTGGGAAGCAAAACATTTCCTGGCATGCTTTGTAGCTGACCAGCTGACTGACATCAAAAAACCAATTAATTGAATGGAGCTCTGTTGTTAAATGGCTTTTCATAAAGTGAAAATTGGGCAGTGCAGGTTAAAAATCTGTCTGGCTGTATGGATTCATTGGGCGCACACATCTTTCTGAAATGATCACAGTTTTCTTCCTCAAGGCAAGTCATACAGTTTAATTTGTATGAACTCTTCTAACTAGAGCTGTAGACAAAATTTTATAGGCCCTAAATGAGTTGTGCGAATATTCTAGAACATTTCCAAAAGCATGAGTCTAGGATGTACTTTTTGTGTACCTAACAACCTAATCTTGCTGTTCCGCCTTGGAACATGTTTAAAATGGCTAGAGCTGGATATGAGTCTGGGCAGCGAAGTCTTAGAGGAGGGACTGTATGGGAGGGGAAAGCTGGCCTTTGTTAGACTGATTTTGGTTTAGGGGTTTCCATCTGGCAACTTCTTGGCTATGGTGATGATTCCATTTTTTGCCTGCAAAAAGCACAAGAAATTGCTGGTTTACAGTTCTGCTTTACAAAATGTATATTGCCTATTCCAGTTATCAGTATAGGAATTGCTGTTTGAATAGTAGCTGATTATAGGTTTTGCTGATTTATGTGGTCCTTGCTATAATGGGACAGGTGTGTTTGTACAAATATACAGTGCTTCACCATATACTCTATTGCAGTTATTTCTGTTAGTGAAATTAGGCTATTAGTTTTGTAAATCCGTATTTGACTTGTAGACTTTTTATTTGAAACCACCTACACAGATTTGTTTGGAAATATTTGGAACACACAACCCACTTGATTAAAAAAAAATATTTTTGAGGCATGGGAGATAATGACAAGAACTTTATTCCAAGGAAGGTCAAAATCTGTACTGTGGAAGTGTATGAAAATATGTTTCAGGTCCAGGTTTCCATTCAAGAAAACAACTTACCTAAATACTTGGAACTCTATAATCATAGTATCTTTTTTGTTAGGCAATGAAATTTTGTGTGTAGTCTACAGAAAACATTAGGACAGCTTAAATGAATAAGAATTGATTTACTTACAATTGTCTGTAATGAGATACAACCTATTTTATAAATGATTTTTTCATATCTATGTGATCACTGCCTGTGAGCATTATAGAGCAAAAAAAAATCACTTTTCCTTCCTAGTTAATGGCTCCGGAGGCAAAGTAATATACAAAAATTACTTTAACCTTCAAAGTTATGTGACTACTCTCATGCCTTTCATAAGAACTTAAGAACCTTGCTGGATCTGACCAAGGGCCCATCAAGTCCAACCTCCTGTTCTCAAAGCTGCCAATCAGAGACCAATGGGAAGCAGAATATAAACAGGAGAACACTCTGGGCACTTACGTCCCCTCCTCCATAAATTAATTTGCCTAATCTTTTAAAGCTATCCAAATTGACGGCCATCATAATGTCTTATGGTAGTGCATTCCATAGTTTAATTATGTGCTGTGTGAAAAATTACTTCCTTTTGTGTGTCCTGAATCTTCCAACATTTAGCATAATTGGATGACCCTGAGTTGTAGTATTTATGTGAGATGGACAAAAACTTCTCTTTATCCACTTTTTCCACACCATGCACCTCTTACTATGTCCTCTGTTTGCTTCCTTTTTTTCTAAAACTAAAAAAACTGCGGTAACTTTTTCTCATAGAGTAGTTGCTCCATCTCTGGAGCCATGATAGCCTGTTGCTGTAAAAAGAGCAAGAATAAAGACTCTTGTGGGACCTTAAGCCATAATAAACTTGTTAGTCTTTAAAAGTCCAATGATACCCTTTTTTGTTTTTTTAATATTTTTTGTTACCTTTTCTGCACCTTTTCCTGTTTTCCTTTTTGAGGTGTGGCAAACAAAACTGGACACAGTATTCCCAGCATGGTTGCACCACAGTTTTTTTTTAACGCCTTCTGTATTTCTGCAATGTTCTTTAATCGTGTAGAAATGCCCTAGCTAACATGTTACTATTCTTATTCTTATTCCAAAGTTAATGGCTTAATGAGGTGATAAGGTTTTGAATACTTGGGAATTCAAAGTTTTTCTTCTTCTTGCTATTCAAAAACCTAAATGCCTGTGTTATGCTTTCCTAGTAATTAAAGAGATTAAAGGGTGAGTCATCACTTGACCTACTATGATAGGCTCAGAGAATTGGAGAGAATTTATGGCCCTGTTTCAGCTATGTGGACAGATGGCATAAAAAAAAATCTCTCTACTGTGGCAAATCTAGAACAGATATTTTCTGTGTAGGCCTGGGAGACAAGGATGTCCTGCTAAGATACTACATATTTGTGGGTGCAAGGATAAGATTAATATTTGTAGAATCAGATCTTTGACTGTACCCAGCGTATTGTTGGCACTAGCTAAGTACCTAACCAAATTTATTACTCTATTATGGTGCTTAAGGATGGGAATACAATTTAAATTTCCTCTCTTTTGGGGATAAATTTCAAGATACGGAGGTGTTTCGAGGAATACAGCCTAAATTCAGCCTGTCTGTTCAATTCCATGCCTCTCCTGACTCATTTATGCTGATCAAGGAGAGGGTTGACCAGCTGGATTCAGGGAGTGATTAATACCTCTTTGTGAGAAGAAATAGTTGCAGTCATTTTGAAGGAGGTGGGTTTGAGGCCATTTCCAAAGTAACTCTTTCTAGACACCAAATATAGTCATGATTGTTGTTCAAATAAAACCTTCCCTGTACTGCAAAGTTTGTCTATGGCTAGAGGGTGGTGACTGTAAAATTCAGGCATAGTTTGAATGATGATGAAATAGATTGACTTCGGTATAGCTTCCGGCTTGTCATCAGAACTAAAACTGCATTGGTTGTTATTTTATATGAAGTTTATTAGAGAAGGAAAAGTGAAGTGTGATCCTGCTAATATGTCTGAATCTCTCAGCAGTTGATACCATCAAACATAGTATACTGCTGGAGGGGCTACCTAGTATTGGAACTGGAGGGGCCATGATTCAATAATTTGCTTCCTGCTTAGAGAGACAGTTCCAGAAGGTGGTGCTGGGGGCTATCGCTCTGAACCATTGCATCCGTGTTCTGGAGTTCATTAGCATTTCCTTTTGTGCCTTATGCTCTATATAACTTTGGGTAAGGGATTATCGGGACGTGGGTGGCGCTGTGGGTAAAAGCCTCAGCGCCTAGGGCTTGCCGATCGAAAGGTTCCCGTTGCTCGGTCCCAGCGCCTGCCAACCTAGCAGTTTGAAAGCACCCCCGGGTGCAAGTAGATAAATAGGGACCGCTTACCAGCGGGAAGGTAAACGGCGTTTCCGTGTGCTGCGCTGGCTCGCCAGATGCGGCTTTGTCACGCTGGCCACGTGACCCGGAAGTGTCTGCGGACAGCGCTGGCCCCCGGCCTCTTGAGTGAGATGGGCGCACAACCCTAGAGTCTGTCAAGACTGGCCCATACGGGCAGGGTACCTTTACCTTTACCTTTAAGGGATTATCACCAGGCTCTTTCTTCATTTTATCAATGCATATGAGATGACACGGGCATACTGAATTTGTGTCTGAAGACAGTAGTGGTTTGCATGAAATTTAACAACCTAAACTCCATTCAGACAAGATGGAGGTGCTGTTGGTAGGTGACTGGTATGACCGCTAATGCGGTGTTCAATCTCATTTGGGATTGTACTCCCCCAGGTGGTGCCCTCCAGATGGTTTGGACTAAAACTCCTGTCATTCCTAACTATGAACCATGCTGGCTAGGGCTTTATGGAAATGGCTGGTGAACCTGTGATCTGAGGATCAATCTTGGCTTTCATATTTGGCCTGTGATCCTCCCCCCCCCCCCAGTTATTGCATGGTGATTAATCTGCCTTTCAAGAGATCAAGCAGGTAGTGGCTGCTGAGCTCTAGGGCATTCCTGAGTGATCCTGATCTTCTAGATGTACTTTATTCTGACCTCTGCTTCATTTTTGAGACAGTTTGGTGGATGATTAATGCCAGGGGAAAACATCCTTGTTGATTTTCCATAACCTCAGAGTCACATTAGATACCATTACCAATTACATACTTTTGGATTGCTTGTCCTGGAGCAGTTTTCCGGCTCAGTTCTGAGTTATACCAGAATCTGTCCACCAAGAAGGAACTGAAAGTGATGGTGGGATACTGTAGCTCAGTATCATGGCATTTACTCTATGGTGTCCTTCATGGTTTTGTATTGTGCTTTGCACTGTTCAACACATTCATGAAACTACTGGTAGAACTCATTTTGATGGCTGCAATCAATATATGATTGATACCAAGCTCTCTCTCATTTCTTTTCATTAAATCCAGATGTGGGCATAGGTGTCCTGAATAGGTGCATAGCATGCTCATTAGTAAACTGACAAGATAAGAGAGAAGTCTCATTAGCTGATAATGGCATATCTTTCCATGGGAGCAATATTGAACCTGTTCTGAATTGGGTTGGCTTCTTGAAGGATCAGCTTCACACTTTGATGTTATTTTACATTCAGCGTTGCTGCTGGATGCATAGGTGACATCCATAATGTGCAGTGCCTTCAACCAACTTCAGTTGTATTTGGTGTACTTGGGCTTCCTTTTGAAAACAATTTGGAAATTCAGCTGATGCGAAATGTGAAAGTGGGGCTGACTACTGAGAACATACGCCAGTCACAAAAACATTACTAGCTATCACTTTACTTTGGGGCTCATTTCTAAGTGATAGTATCCACTTGGGAGGCTTTGTGAATAAGTTAATTTAAATTATTATTGAAATGAGCAAGAAGAAAAGTTGACTTAAATCATTGATTTGAATTAAGATTTTCATTGATATCTTCTTCATATATTTCCTAAACAGGGCTCCAAGAAAATAAATATCCAGGCAATTTTGTTGATTCATAATTTCCTGCAATGAGAACATAATCTGTGACTGCTTGTAACGTATTTATATTAATAGCCCTTTGAAGTGAATTAGTTTTCTTTTTACATAGAAACAGACTTTAATTCAATGTTCTTGTTTGAACGTAGTGCTAAGTAATGGTTTAGAGCTACATTTCGACTTTAGCCTTAGTTTTAATTATGGTTCATTGGTCCAAGAGCGGTTTGTAAACCACCTTTTGAAATTTACTTGTTTGGACAAACTATAGTTAAAGTTAAGAATAGTTTGCAATGGTTTTGATATATTGGCAAATCTTGATTGGTAGAAAATGGAAGTAAATGCTTCTAGTCACCATTTGCAGCTATGCCAGAGATGGGGAAGTAGAATTGTATGAGTCTAAGGCTTGTTTATGTAGCACCAAATCATAGTTTAATGTTGTGGCTGAACACAGCCATTATATTTGAAAAGGGTTATATATGCAGTTTTAAGATAAGTATATAATTTACATTTTTGCATTAAGTTCATATTTCATTTTCATCCTGCTTGTTAAAAAATCACTTAATTGAAATATAAAGCAAAAATCAGATTTAAATAAAATATCAATAAAAAAGTCTACTGTGATTGCAACATGAGAAAGCAGCAAAATAATATACTTTGCCACATTTCATATGCATTGCAAGAAATTGATCTTAGTTTACAAATTTAAGGGTAACTTGACCCTTTATGATTTATGTCTTTGGAATATTTTTTGTTGTGTCTGAAAAGTTCATTTTGAAACTGGAAAAGACCAAAAAGGAGATGGGACCTAAATAGCTAGATTAGAAATCATAGCAAAATAATAATAATATTCAGGCTCCTTTACAAATATCATTTTGATTGTATATAGATATTATTTTTTTCATGACTGTTGCAAGCTAAGGATGGTAACTGAAGTTGATGCACTCTTAGTTGCTTAAAACATTTTAATCTTTCCATAGGCTGTTGAGTAACTTGTTATCTTTACAAATTATGTACAGTTTTCAGTGAAGAAATTGGACTGGATGAACAATTGCATGTTAATAATTTTAGTTTATTTTGACTGGCTACCTGAAAAGAGTGGTGGAGGAAATCTGATAAGTCTTCGTTCATACATCACCTTAAACCATAGTTTAAAACAAACTGTGATTTAACGTGAACAAGCTCTGTGCTGTTGCATGCTGCTCAAAAGTTCCTGAGGTTCTCATTTCCCATGTCTGAACCTGAATTCGTACTTTGTTTCCCCCACCAAAAAAACCACAAGCAGTGAGAAGTTGCTTATCGCTTCTGGTTTGTTTAGGAGGAAACAAACTAGGAGTCTTAATTTGGATGACAAGCCAAGCTCTGGTTTGTTTTGTCCATGTCATGGCAGGAGGAGGAGAGGAGTACTCAGGAATATTTGAGTTGTTTGCATTAGTGTGCTGCTCGTTCACATTAAGCAATAATTTGTTTTAAACTTTTGTTTGATGTGAATCAGGCCTCTAACTAGGTTTCCTAGATACTCATTTTTTTTTAAAAAAAGATATTTCAAACTTACATGCTTAATATTAGTGTTTGCATTTTTAAATGGCAAAGTGCTTACTGTTTCTTTCTTTTTAGAGAGGATCTGACGAGCTTCTTTCAGGCAGTGTACTCAATAGTCCGAACTCTAACATGAGCAGCATAGTAGTTACTGGTAAGTGATGCTTTTTGAAAGGAGACTTTTTTCATTGTAGCATCAAAATGTATCCATGTTGCAGAAGAAGAATGAACATCTGGACAAACAATGTTTATTATGCCTTCTTAGGATCTGAGCACTGAAGTTTTTAAATATCAAATGCCTAATACAGTATTTGTAAAAAAATAAAATTCTGATGCATGGAATTTGGAGTTGCCCAGAGCAGAACTACACCAGCTGGACTTTGACATGGGCAGAATGGGATGGGGGTGGTAAGGCAGTCTTCACCAATTCCTTCTGTGGCCCCCTATACCTTTCCCCCTAAAAATCTGTTCTGGAGGGTTGGGGAACCCTCTGTAATACTGTGGGGAGGAGGCATAAAGGACTGCAGGGGAAAGGGAGAATCACTGGACATTACCTCCCCCGTCTTCCACCAAAGATCTTGGTCCCTTCTTTAAATGATAGGAGCTCTTATTTAGTGCAACACCAGGTCTGAGTCCAAGCCTGCATAACTTTAAAACAAGGGATTCTCACAGTTTATTTTTTATTGTTTTTTGGAGAGGGACCTTCCATCAGGCAAGGAAAGACTCATGCAGGCATTTGCGCTTTCTGCCTGTCTGCACTGTGTCATCCAGCCAGGATCTGTTTTTATATCCTGTGTTTCATTTATGTCAGGGGTGCCCAAACATTTTCCAAAGATGGCCAGATTTGATGAAGTGAACATGCGTGAAGGCCGACCAAAGTCGTTGAAGTTTTTTTTAGGATTTTACCCCCAGGACATATACTGCTACTGGAGCTGGATTAAATGGACTGGTGGGCCGGATTAGGCCCCCGAAAGGGATTTTGGACATGCCTGATTTATGTTGAAACCTCTCACCCACCCGTATTTTTTTCAGACAGGTTTGTGTTGCTTTAGGAAGTCAGAGCAACACGTGTCGTTTGTACCAGGTCTCCTATTCCTCTTTGCAGGTTACCTCTCCATCCCTAGGTGAAACATCATTTCAAATAACGAAATGTTATAAAGTTTCCTCTGCTAAAAGAATGGCTATATCCTATTAGTTTGGGTGGCTTTTTGAACTACTGATAGTACTACCACTGTCCATAACTATTATACCTGGATGTAGCAGGAGAGGAGGGGGGAAATACAAGCCCCCTCCAGCAATCAGGCCAGAATCAACTGTCATATGTCTCCTTCCCTGCAAGGACTCCGTTTTGTAGTCATCATATAGCTATTAGTAACTGACACTTGAATCTGCATATTTTCACTGCCACTCCTCATCCTGCCTTCCCTTAGTGCAGGGAAGGGACTCCCGCTCACATCAGTTGCAGGCAGCATGGACAGTAGACAGGAGTAATGAAAGTTGTAGTCCAGCAACAGTTGGAGGGCCACAAGTTCCCCACACCTGCTTTAGTGTCATATGTCTCAGCTTGTAAGATCTGTTCCAATCATTGTACAATGCTTAAGAATGTATTAAGTCAAGGGTAGGCAACCTGTGGGACAGGTGCGGCCCAATCGTCTTCTAAATGTGGCCCGTGGACGGTCCAGGAATCAGCATGATTTTACATGAGTAGAATGTGTCCTTTTATTTAAAATGCATCTCCGGGTTATTTGTGGGGCATAGGAATGCGTCCATTTCCCCCCCAAAAAATATAGTCTGGCCCACCACGTGGTCTGAGGGACAGTGGACTGGCCCACAGCTGAAAAAGGTTGCTGACCCCTGTATTAAGTGCATAATAGAACTTATTGTGAATAGTTACCCTTGAATAATGGTATCAGCTTTGCAGATAGGTCTGAAGGGGGTACCTGCCAGAGTGGCTGGGATGGGTATGTATGTATGTATGTATGTATAAATAAATAAATTATTATTATTATTATTTCTTCATGAACCTTTGTCTCCCAATACTATGAGGGAAAGAGAAATTCCCATGCTCAAGCCTTCATGATACAGTTGTACAATGTCATAGAAATTGAGTGCTGAATTATTTCTCTTCTGTCACCTTAACTAGCCAGTAGATACTGTAGATTCCTGCGTATTAGGCAACTGGGCATATAAGACGACCCCCCAAATTGGCAGTCTTATACACTTCACTGGGCAGTGACAGTGGGCAGCGGGCTCTGCGCCAGGAGGGAGCTGCCCGGTGAAGCTGCCCAGCGATACTAAACTGGAGCGGGCCGTCCACTGCTGCTGCTGCGGCAGCTTTGGCAGCTTCCGAAGCAGCGGTGGGCTCCACGCCTGGAGGAAGCCATACCCGGTGAATAAGACGACCCTCAACTTTTTAACCTCTTTTCCGGGGTTAAAAAGTCGTCTTATACGCCAGAATCTATGGTAATTAATGTGTTCTTTTTATGCTGGACTTTTAACTGTCCATCAAATTTGGGTTTGTCAGATTTTGTTGTATTTTATTTATTTATTTATTTAGCCACTCTGGGAGGTATGGCTGAAGAGTGGGTAATACATGTTTTGAAATCATATATAAATATATTAAAATAGAATTAGAGTGGGAGAGCCATGTAGCTATATCCCTGCATCAGTGCAGTAGCCTGGAGGCAATTTTTAATTGCTAGGTAAGTTGCTAATTATAAACTTGAGTTATGTAAATGTTAATTATGGAGCACTGTAAACACATTTCTTGTTTATAAGATTCCAAGCAGGGATCAAAATTAATGATGTAGCAATATATTTAAAATTACCTTTACCTTAAGTATTGAAATTAGTTCCAAGTTGAAATGGAAGGGCAAGGGAAATAATTTTGGGAATATTTTCATGAACCCCTTCATGAGCTGTTCCTTGGGTGACTTTTTTGGGATGAAGTGGGGGGTGGGGTAAAAGGGTAAAAAATGTTTGTTTTGAGAGGGAAGTATTTCTTCAGTCTATCAAGATAGGAAGCAAACTTTTTGCTGAAAATGTAGATTGCCTTGGGAGCTGGGAAGTTCTTTAACCCTCTTCATGGACATCCAAACGGAAGTCAAAATACTGCTTCATTTGCTCTCAGTAACGTAGCCAATCACCTTTGGCTTTATCACATTCAGCACTTGATTCCTATTTTTTGGTGAAGAAGAGTTATTTTTTTCCAAATGATGTAGCAGCAGCGTAATAGCTCTACATCATAATAATAAAAGGCAGAAGGTCTGGAGAAGATTTTGCATCTTTCAAAGGTTTTTGACATTAAAATCTAAGTGTTAGTATTTAGTGCGACACTAATTGGAAAGAAGAGTCCTGTGTTAATGCCCAAAAGAGTAGCTCACTGTGTGTGTGTGTGTGTGTGTGCGTGCGTGTGTGTGTGTATATATATATATGTATATATATATATATATATATATATATATATATATATATAATCTCCTTACATGTCAGATGCTACTCTGGAGGAGACCTTCCCCCAGCCCCAAGAGGGGCCTAAAAAGAACCCCCACTCCTTTGCATTCATGCTTGATATTTTGGTCACATATGCCAGGCTACTTTTTGGACTTGTGGTGTGATTTTAGGAAGCTTCTTGTAACAAAAATAAAAATAAATACTAGCTCTTAAACCTCCTGTTGGCACATAGCCATCTTAAAAATTATACCAGGCTTTGTTTGCAGTGATTTAAAGATTTTACCACTAGGTAAGCATTTAGTTTCTGCTCTTAAATCAGGAATATCCAACATGTTGCACTCTAATGCTGTTGGTATACAGCAATGTTATTTAAAACACAGTTAACCCAGTTAGTTTTGGCAATGGTCAGATATGATGGGTGTTGTAGTCTAGCAACATTTGGAGGTACCATGTTGGCTATCACCGGCTTAAACGGTCATATATGAAGTATAATGAAAGTATGGGGTTTGATGTGGTTGACTTGCTTCTATATATTTGTGATCTTGAAAGTTGCTGTTCCTGTTTGGATGAGAAACAATATTGACACTTCCAATATTGGACTTTGTTACATGTGATATGAGTTTAAATATTTGCACATTCAGATTCCTTAAATTGAAAGAAAAGTTTCCTGCATTTCTCTAAAGATCCTCAGCATCGTGAATAAGTTAAGATCCTAGACTTACTTAGAGCAGACTCTCTGTGTGGTCCTACTTTTGATTTTCTAATAAGGCAGAGATTTGTTTAACCTTTTGTAAAAGTGAGAGTGAAAATGTTATCAAGAAATTCCACACTAATTCAGAAGTCTTTCTGCTGTGAGGCCTACTGCAGTCTTGTAACCCCTGAAGCAACACTGGATTCACCCTTTGCCATGAGAGGTCGGGTGTCTGATAAGGTAACAGTTGCTCTGCAGGCTTTCCCAGCGCCCTTTGCTGATGATGCCAGGGATCACCACATGCTAAATGGAGCCACTCATTTTATTAGCAGGCTAAAATTCTCTCCTAAGCAGCTCACCACAGGAACTCTGGTAACTTTCAAGCAATAAACGATTGATGAAGGAAGGTTGCTTCATCAGTGGAGGCGGGTGTTAGAACATGCACCAGAGCCAAGAAAATGAACAGCAAGGACTCTAATGGCGGTGGCCTGCAATGTGAGTTTCTTGCCTGAAAGCACCATAGACCACACCAGCTGCACGTATAACCCTGTTGCTCTGTTGGAAGGGATGAAAAGAGGATAACAGGAGCAAATCTCCATACTTCCATACCTCATTGGAGAATAGAAGGAGATATTGAGCAGGAAATTGGAAGCATTGTAACAAAGACAAAAGTAGAAAGAGTATCAGAGTAGAAGATGACAACCGGAGTTGCGAAGAAACCGCAAGAAAGACCGGAGCAGGAGAATCAGAAGACAGTTTGAACAATAGAGCTAAGAAATAACTTTCAGTATTAATTCAACAAGAACAGCTCTGAACATCTTGTTGGATAGCTACAGAAAGATATTCTTGGTGGGAAGGAATACTCTTCAGTGCTTCAAGAACAAAGGTGACAGTCATAGCCTGCAGAAAAAGGAAGAGAAGTGTTGTTGTGGTGGTTGAAGACTCCCTACTGAGAGGTACAGAGTGGCTTGTGAATGTACCAGACCTGTTAACTTGTGACATAAGCTGCC